GTGTTCAATTTTTTGGTTGAAAGCAGCCCATCAATCACTCAGGTCCAAAACAGTGTCAGGTTTGTACCCTTCCTTTCCTCATACCCTCAACATCTAATCAATTGCCAGTTCTTTAGATACCTCTTGGATCTGTCCCACTGATGCTATCCTAGTTTAGGCCCTCACTATTTACTAAAAGTATTTCAATAGCCTCCAACAAAGTTGGCCTTCTGTGACCTCTCCCTCTGCCCTAGGCTTCCAGCATCTTCTTTCTTAAGTGCTTCATTATCATTGTTTTCCTCAAAATCCCTCAGTATTTCCCTACCATTTATAGAATAAAGCCCCAAATACACAACCACTGGAGCCTTGCATGGACCTTACACTCTAGTCAAACTGAATTGATATTCCCTGCATATGCATAATAAAATTTATACTTCTGCCCATGCCTTCCCTTCCTCAAAAATCCTCAAAAAAGGAAAAAAAAAACCTAAGCTTCATGAGAATAGGGATCATATCTATTTGATTCATTATTATGTTCTCAGAGTCTAGCATTGTGGTTAATACATGGTAGGTGTCATTAAAAACTGAATAAATAAAAGCTTCGTGTATCCAAATCTACTTACCCTTTAAATTTCAGTCCAAATACTACTGTGCCAAAAAGTCTATACTGATATCTGCTTCCCACATCAATACCTATACTTCATCTCTCTAAAACTAAGTGATCTGTTTTTTTCCTTAACTCCCATAGGCCTTTTCTATCCCATTCTTATGACATTGTTCACTTTCTTTCCACCTTGGCAATTCTTTTTGTACACATCTCATCTCCCACTAGACTGTGAGACTCCTGAAGGCAAGAGCTATGTTTAATTCATAATTGTGCCCTAAAAAGCAATGTTCATTGAATGGGCACTCAATTAGAATAGCCACACTGGAGGCTTTAGAAAATTAGAGAAGTTAAGGGTTTATTATTATTTCTAATAATATGATAAGAGCTTTAGTGCTTTGCTCATAAACATCAAAAGGTGAAAATATTGTCTGCACCTCAATTAACCAAAACATAGGTGAACACATTGGCTGAACCTCTATTAGTCAAGATATATGGTTACCATGGCTTGAGATTGAATTCTGGCTAATCTCTAAAAACTAGAAAGTCATGATTCACATAATTCATGAATTTCCAAGTTGTTTTCTCCTACAATTCATAGTAACTATAATATTTTATTTGGGACTCCACACACCTAAATAAATTCAGACTTTTAATGGGATCTTTGGATATACATTTCGTTATAAATCAAAGCTATACACCATGTTACATGAATTACATATATATCAATTTCCAGATTTCCACTTTCCTTTGAGTTCTTGGCATTAAACTCAAATTCCCCTAGTTGTAGATACTAAGGTTTTCAGACTCCCTACTAAGGAATTTGCCTCTGTGGGGAGGGGGGATAAGCTGAAGTACTTGATTCCCAGAGCAGCCCAAAATTCTAAGGGAAACAATGGTCTCATCAGGTACTTTGGATCATATAATTTATAGATCTGGTTATTACCTTATCTAACCCTCCACCTTCAAGTCAACCCACTCATGATGAGAGATTCTTTTGAAAGCCTTCCAGAGAATAATTATATACAATGCTTTATTACTTATTCCAGATTTTTACCCCTCTGAGCATTTGAAGTCCATTTGCTTTCATTCTATAATTGAGACCAAAAAACAAACAACAAAAAAACCCACCCAAACCAAAAACCCAAAACCATCAACCCTTCTCTGTATAAAGAGTTTCCCTGGAAGATATGAATCACCCTTCTGACTTTTCTGGACTTTTAAGTTGTGCAAACATTTCTACACTACGCTGGTAAGAAGTGCTAAAGAATACTTTAAAAAAAAATCTTATGATGATTCCCACAGGTATGTACATCTGAATATATCTCATGATTTCCCCCATCAGGTCTTTAAAGAAACACTCTTGTAGGGCCACCTGGATGGCTCAGTCGGTTAAGTATCTGACTGTGACTCGGGTTGTGGTCCCGGGGTCCTGAGACTGGGTCGTGGGTCAGGCTCCCTGCTCAGCAGGGAGTCTGTATCTTCCTCTCCCTGTGCTCCTCCCTGCTGCTCATGCTTTCTCTCTCTCAAATAAATAAAATCTTAAAAAAAAAAAAACAGGAACACTCTTGTACTTCTGTACAGTTGAAGTTTTTCCTTCTAAGATGTTCTTACATCCTGTCTTTATACTTCAATTTATGCCTTTCACTCATCCTTAATATTATCATAGGCAGACAACATTTAATGTATTATCTTAACTTTATTTAATAAGTAAGTATGCATTACATAAAGGTTGCAAGTCATTCTTGGTCCTGTGAAGAGGCAGGTGGTTAATCTGAAGCAAAATGAGAACATGAATCCACAGTTATGTTGCTACTGAAATACTTCTTCTGGGTGTCTTGTATGGGTACAGTCTCCCTCAATACCCATTCAAAGCAGGCTTTGCTGTCACCTCTCCCTTCAGCTGAGGGATTCACAATATCTAAAGTCAGCTTGTAAAGAATCCTTCTGTATCAGAGGTAGTTTTATGCCTGCATTATAAATCATAGAAGATATTTGGTCGAAGACTCCATAAAAGGGGCAGAAGGGAAATACCAGAGCTCAGAGTTGGAACCAATTATTTTTTCAAGCTAAGCATTGGCCATAGTAGCAAAAGTATCAACCAAATTTTGGAATAGCCTGCTCAGCTATTTAACATCAAAGCATGCAGTAGCCTATACAAATAATAGCTTCTAGAGGAAACCTTGAGTTTGGCTTAAGCACCAAGAACATTTTAAGAAGTGCAAAGTACATTTATGTGCAATGACTAGTGTAGTGAGCTAAATGATGGCTTCCCCCAAATATGCCCATGTTCTAATTCCTGGGACCTGTTAGGTTATTTGGAAAAAGGGTCTTCACAGATGTGATTCAGTTAAGAACACTGAGATGAGATTTTTAATGTATAAACCAAGTGGGTCCTAAATGCCACAACAAGTGTTCTTATAAGAGAGAGGTAGAGGTAGATTAGATATACAGAAGGAAAAGTAATGTTAAAACAGAACAGAGAGAGATTTGGTCACAGCTAAGGAAAGAATGACAGTCAGAAGAAACCGGAAGAGACTAGGACCAGATTTTCTTCTGGAGCTTCCAAAGGGAGTACAGACCTGTCAAGACCCCAATTTAGGACTTTTGGCCCCCCAAACAATAAGAGAATAAATTTCTGTTGTGTTAATTTATCACGTTTTGTGTATTGTTACAGCAGCCACAGAAACCTAAAACAGATTTTGGTAACAGGAAGTAAGGTACTCCTATAATGAATAACGAAAAATGTGGAAGTAGCTTTGGAGTGGATAATGGATAGATGCTGGAAGAATTGTGATGCATTTATCAAATATACACTGCTGTTAGAAATATGAATGTTAAAGTTACTTTTGGTGAGCTCAGAAGGAACTGAGGAATATTTTATTGGAAACTAGAGGGAAGGTGATCCTTGTTATATAGTGGCAAAGAGCTTATCTAAACTGTTTCCGACAGTTGTGTGGAAAGTAGAATTTGTTAGTGATGAACTTGGATATTGAGCTGAGATTTCCAAACCAAGTGTTGGAGGTAGGGCCCATTTTCTTCTTGAGCTTATAGTAAAATACAAGGGGAATGAGGTAAATCAAGGTAGTAATTGTTAAGCAGAAAGGAACCAGCACTTGATAATTCAGAAATTTTGAGCCTATTCAGATGCAAAAGATGCTAAAATTAGCTGATGCGCTATTAGGATAGTGTGCTCTAGCGATAAAGCCAACTTCTGGCTAGTGTTGAGGAGATTAGGCATTGACTCATGGATCCACTCAACCATGTCAGCAGAAGCCAAGAATAGAGATGGCATTATCCAGCAAAGATCTGTGAGGACTCTTATCTCAATACTGAATCAATCTGACATATACGGGAGGCCCACAAAGTTTTTAAGAAACAGTTTTAGTCTGGCCTGAAAAGGACCGAGACAGGACAAAATGAGAGATTGTCAGACTACCAAAGTTTTACAGGCAAGAAAGAGGACGATAAAGCTGCAAACATGAGCCACCCTTCAGTATAAAAGGTCATTCTCAGAGCAGAACTTCAGGTACAAAGGCAGAGGCCCAAGCAGGGGAGCAGAGGCAGAAGTGCAAACCATGGGCACAGAGACTTGATCCATGGGCCATGAGGCCAGAACTGCAGACCTACAGGATAGAGTCCTGAAACAAGGAGGATTGTCATGCCAAGAAACCTAAGGGGAGGGATGGATGCTTGGTGGAATTTTGAAGGTCATCAGGCCATGTTACTTCTTTCTACTTTCCATTTTCCCTGTTTTCAAACAGGAATGTTTATAACTATTGCCCTGTACCTGTTCCACCATTGTATTCTGGAAGCAGATACCTCATTTTGCTTCATTTATTCACATCTGGATAGGAAATTTGCCCCAGGATTTTCATCTGGGCCTGATTTAGATGATCTAGATGATGAGATTTGGGACAATTGAACTGATGATGTTTGGATGAAATTTTAGATTTAGAGTTGATGCTATAATGGGTTGAGACTTTTGGGAATGTTGAGATGGGGTGAATATATTTTGCACATGGGACAGATACAAATTTGGGGGGCCAGAGGGCAGACTGTACTGGGCTGCAGAGGTGCCTCCAAAAAGGTATGTCCACATCCTAACTCTCAGAACCTGTGAACCTTAATAGGAAAAAAGATCTTATGAGAGAGGCATAGTAAGATTAGATACACAGAGGAGAGAGTGATGTCAAGATGGAGCAGAGACAGATGTAGCCATCACCCAATGAAGGTCAACAGTCACTACATGTGGGAAGAGGCAAGGAAGGATTTTCCTCTAGAGACTTTGGAGGGAGCACACCCTTCATTTTGGATGCATTTTCGCCACAGGGACGATGACAGAATACATTTCTGATGTGTTAAGCCACCACGTTTGTGGTACTTTGTTATAGCAGCCAAAGGAGATGAATGCAATTAATAAACATTTTAAGGACTTTGTATTTTTAAAAATCATCCTGAAGAAAATCTGCATAAATTGGTGCTTCTCACTGTGGCAGTAAAAAACCTAACAAAAGACTTCAGTATAATTTGGTTCTATACTAAAAATATTACTATGTACTTCTTTGGTGATAATTTTCAATCTCAAACAAAATTGCAAATGGCTAAAGCAGGACTATTATAACTCTGGGAAGCAAATCCTTTAACTCAATTATTGGAATTTCATGAAAGACCCTGAAAGGTTCCCTACTGTTGTGAAAACATTGTGGGATTTGTCCAGATACAAATATATAATTTAGCAATAATAGTATTTCATTCTTTTCACAAACCAAAAAATAAGGCAAATTCACATCTTGAAGAGGTGATACACATCAATATTTCTTTCCTGACCATCTTTTTTTTTTCTGACCATCTTGATAATATGGCATGGCAAATGCCCCTAAATTTTAGTCAGGATTGATATTTCAAAATATCACTTTCCTACAGCCTGAAAGGCTACTAAAGGACTCAGGCCATACCATAAAGATTTCAGAAAAGATTATGTTAAGTCAAAAATACACACATTAATTACTTACATAAATTTGTGTATCTTTGTTGTTAAGAAAAAGTGTATGAAATTGTTATGTCCCTCAAACTTGTTTGTGTATGCCTATGTGTATCTTAAGATAGGATAAAACTGTAAAATCTCAGATACTGTTATTCTTTTTGATCTCTATTTTAGCAGCTTCAGAGATTTTTCAAATATCATGCCCAAGTAAGAATGCACTGGAGGAAAAGGTAGCACAGTATACATCTATTTAAAGGAGACTGAATCACTGGTCACTTGTTTACATTATTTCAGATGATGACTTGCCAAGCCAGTCGTTTGTTCTTTCTGAATATCTATAATGTACTCTGGAGAAGTAGAAATAGGATCTTCTATGTAAGAAATATACATATAAGAAATTTTTTACAGTAATGACAATCATCTGCATGGGTTAGTTTTAAGATTACACTCCAGAGAAGTTATACCACAATATTTCAATGCATATTTTAAAGTAATAGACAAGAAAGTTAAGTTTAACTTCTATGCCTTCATCTATTTAAGAAAAATATAGGGTTGTTTTGGCAGCATCATTTTAATTTGTTAATATAAGGTAAGTAAGTATGATGATGATTGAGAAGTTCACTTAGTTACTGGGATGTGGAATTACTGTAGTAGGAGATATAAACATATACTTATATACACATACATACATATAATTTTTTTCTTCTTCAGACCACCACAGCAGAATTGGAAAGGGGTATAGAAAGGGAGATAAAACAGTTGACCTTTCAGACAGTTTTCTGCTGCCTGCAGAGAGAAATCTTTTTCCTCTCAGGTCTTTTAGAAACTCTATTCCCTGCTTTCATGGGGGTCATGGGAGAAAGAAGCAATAGAAGAAATAACCACAGAGAACAGGAATCAATATTTACCTTTAAAAAATCTTAATAAAGGTAACAGAATATTCAGGTTCATCCCAGAATAAACATTAAAATGTGAGGTTTTTCTCAAAAAATAGTCATATGGTATTTGTATAAAGTAGATATATGTGCGTAATTAGAAAATACCTCTTTAAATAAAGTTTAAGTCACTTTCTCTAACTGCTTCTGTTAAACTCTGGTTTATTTTTAGCAAAGATAAGTGCCTGCAACATCATACTGAAACTCTAGATTAATGTTAAGTTTAATTTCAGCCAAAGCAGATGAATCCATCAGCTTTCACTTGAGTAAGATTCTAAATAAATTCATAGGGTTGAAGCAGTACTTTTTTTTAGCTTCCAAAATGGCTTGTCTTACAGAGTACCTCTCCAAATCATTAATACACACATTTTCATTGGCCTTTTCTTTTTCTATGTCACAGGAATCAGAAGCAGATATTGAATAATTCTTTCTATTCCTTTTTTTGGGGGGGGTGACCTGCAAATTTGATTAACATTGTAATTTTTTGACAGACTGAATGTTTTTGAATTTCATATACATTTCATCATTATCATCAGGTCACACACAAGAACAAATAATACACATCTTTACACTAAAATGGAACACATGTTTTATAATCCTTGTAACTGTGTTTGGATTAGTATAATTGTGAGAGGCATCTTGCAATAGCTTTACAAATACAAATACATGCTATTTCACCCAGCTTAGCTTGATCCTTGAAGAAATGCATTAATTTATTCTCTATCCCTTGAGTGGATATTTTGTTTTTCTCAAAATGTATGATTTTGTTTACTTAAATATTTTCATATTCTTTGGCATCAGGATTCACTTAGATGAGACAGCTCCATTGTGGCGAGAGCGTGACCTTTCCAAAGGTACTCGTCTGTTATCTGTAAGACAAAAAGAACCAAAAACACGTGAGCTTTAGATCTTGGCTATTATACAATGTTGGGTCAAGAGAGGTTTTCAAATAGTCCTGAAAATCACTTCAAATGAATATGTAAATAAGTAACAAGGAGCCCAGATCCGAGGAGTTCATGCTATAGTTCCCAGGCTGAGTTCAAGAGTCCTGCAATCAACATTAAATAACTTTCCTTGGTAAGTGAAATCAGAGTGATGAAAGAAATGGAAGAATTCTCTCAAGCACAGTCCCCTCGGAAATTGCAGGTGACAACAAAATTCCTTGGTAAAGATGTCAAATTGAAAGGATCTCTGTACAGTGCCTTTTGTTGGAAAGCACTTCAATTTTCAATTCCCCATGAGTTTTCTTTTTTTTTTTTTTTTATCCCCATGAGTTTTCAATCTGTATACGGGCTACCTCTAGAGGACACCAGGAAGGCAGAGCAGAAAAAAATTTTTATTGTTTAACGGTGATGGCAATATGTGCCAATCAAACCAGCTACTGAATCTTTGCCTGATTGTATGATGTAAACATATCCAATACACTATACAAGTCATTATGGGAATGAGTAATGAATAGGTCCTATTCCCCTCACCCATCCCAGGAAGAATAATCACTGTAGAGATAACTGTTGGGACAAAGCTTAGAAAGCAAAGTTTAAAAGCATTGATAGTTGCTCAAAATAGTTTTAGCATTAACAGAAAAAAGGTTTACAGCTCTGCATTGTGATGATCACTACTATGTTATTATCACCTTTGTTTTATGTTCAGCTTAAACACAACTGATGTGGGTGAAAATCCCTTTCTGACAAAAGCATAATATACTTAGATTCTCTATTTGAAATAAGACTAGGTCCCTGGAAATAATGACAACCACCAGCACTTACATAAATGCTAACACTTTACACTTATTAATTTGCTAATTCACTCAACATCCCTGGGAGGTAAGTCTATTTCATTCTACCCTATTATTTCTGCTTTAGTGATGTAGGTCACAGCAAACCGTTAGGATGATAGGGGATTATAATGCGAAGTTAATGCCTAAATATCAAGACCGCTTTGTTCAGAGGTAGATGATAGGGCCTCCCAAGGGACTAATCACATCCTCCCTGAAATGATGATGCCCAAAGAACACATCTTGCCTGTCCCATTGGGAGGATGGACCATAAGAAGTGGTGACATTTGCTGTGGTCCCTTTCTGCTCTGTGCTAGTGTCTCTGGACTGATTCCTGGTAGTCTGTTGTTACTACACAGAAAAAAAGCTAACTAGCTTCTATGATCTTGGCCTTGTTAATACCACATATGACTGCATTAAGCCAACCAGCCATAAGCTTAAAGTGCCTTATAAATGCAATAATATCACTGGGAGATGAGAAAGAAAGGCGTTTTCTCTATTCAGAGATATATCTGAGTGAAGGATTATTTAGATATTCATTTAAAGATACCATTTTAGGGGCGCCTGGGTGGCTCAGTGGGTTAAAGCCTCTGCCTTTGGCTCGGGTCATGATCCCAGAGTCCTGGGATGGAGCCCCACATCAGGCCCTCTGCTTAGTGGGGAGCCTGCTTCCTCCTCTCTCTCTCTCTCTGCCTGCCTCTCTGCCTACTTGTGATCTCTGTCTGTCGAATAAATAAAATTTAAAAAAAAAGATAACATTTAAAAAAAGTCATTATTTGTGATACAGATTACAATTTCAGCAAAAAATGTGAAGATAACATTTCTAAATAAAGAGCTTATTTCTTAGATGTCACAAGTTTGCATACAGATTGGTTTGGGACTTCTTAGAAAACACTTAAAATAAGATTATAATATAATCATTACCAGTGTTTTGCTAGTATTTAAACATTCAGTGTTAAAAGCCATCAGATATAAGAATGACAGTCCATTCTCAGAGGACTGTCCATCTCAAAAAAGCTCGTGGCTTGGTGGTCCTGCACACTAAGGTCAATAGGAATTGTACTCAGGAATGCCACTGGCTTCCCGTACCATCACTCCCAGCCCACTAGTTTTAAGACAAATACCATATTAAAAAACCCAGACTCAGAGCATTAAATGATGTGGTGTCAGGACTCACTTATTGGTAGCATTTGGTATGAGAAAATAAAACTTCAGGTGAAAATGAACTCCGGAAAGGACAGTGAAGCTTTTGGAATGCAGGATAAGCACTGGTTCAGGGCCCAAATCTAGCTCTTGGCATGCACAGGAGAGAATTATTCTGTATTTCCTCCCTCTCTCCCTTCTCTCAATCTGTCTCTCTCTTTATACATTTTTGGTACTAAACTGATCCCTATGTTAATGAGATAATTATAAGAGGAAGCAATTCTGAAAAGGTTACCACGTATTTTTGAAATGTCAATGTACAACTTTATTTATGGAAAAAAAAGTGCCATTAGAAACAATGGCAACAATTACTAATCTGGATTTTGTGATCAAATTACAACTTTCTGCATTTATATTAAAACTATTTTAGATAAGGGGCGCCTGGGTGGCTCAGTGGGTTGAGGCCTCTGCCTTTGGCTCAGGTCATGATCCCAGAGTCCTGGGATCGAGCCCCACATCGGGCTCTCTGCTCAGCAGGGAGCCTGCTTCCTCCTCTCTCTCTGCCTGCCTTTCCCCTTACTTGTGATCTCTGACTGTCAAATAAATAAATAAAATCTTATATAAAAAAAACTATTTTAGATGAAAAATATACTCTACTCTAGATTTGTATGAATCAGGCAAAAAGTATAATTTAAAAGATAACATGTTTATAAATATAAATATACATTCATCTTTTTTCACATTCTTAATCACTTGCAATCTAAAGATGAAAACTTTTCATGCTCAAATTCATGTCTTGTTTGAGGCAAAGACTGAAAATCAGTCAATTTTTTGAAATAAAAATTATGTAATTATAGTATTAAATACTAATGGGTGAAAATCTGGCATGCCCCTCATAAGGTAAGGGCACATAGTTGATGGCAAATTTATGAGAAAGTAAATGTTATATATTATTGCTGTCAGAGACGATAAAGTAATTTGGGTGATTTGAGAGTGACTGTATTTCCTATTTGGAGATGTAGATGGAGGAAGTGAATGCCCATGTGCTGATTTGAGAGTTATGGGAGACCAAGACTGGCCCCAATTCACTTTTTTAAAAAAGATTTTGTTTACTTGAGAGAGAGAGATAAAGAGCACACATGTAAGAGAGAGTGCACAAGAGGGAGCACAAGCTGGGGTGGAGGGGTATATGCTGGGCAGAGGGAGAGATTGAGAAGCAGGCTCCCCACTTAGCCGGGAGCCTGATGTGGGACTCAATTCCAGGACCTTGGGATCATGACCTGAGCCAAAGGCAGATGCTTAACCGACTGATCCACCCAGGTGCCCCCAAAATTCACTTTTATAACTAGTATTATTCTCCCAACACTACTGATACTAGAATAGTTTAGATGGCAAAAATAGGGGCCTTGCCTCCAAAAAGTCAATAGTTTAAAACATATGTACTCACCTGAGATGATGTGGAGGGCTCTGCTAACAAATAGTGGCTTCCCTTTCCAATTTGCCTATTGTCTTTTTGGAGACCAAAGAAAGGAAGAAGGGGGAGACAGCTATCTATGTTTGTATACTTATAGGAGATGTTGTACAATGAGATATAGGAAAACATTTTATTAGAGGATGGGGTCTTTCTGTGCTTTCATTTTCGTGATGTATGAGGTAACTTATGATAGTAAGAAAGCCTACAGTGTCTAATATATCCTCATGATCTAAGAATTCATTAAGAAATTCTATTGTTGGGACGCCTGGGTGGCTCAGTTGGTTAAGCAGCTGCCTTCGGCTCAGGTTATGATCCCAGCGTCCTGGGATCAAGTCCCGCATTGGGCTCCTTGCTCGGCAGGGTGCCTGCTTCTCCCTCTGCCTCTGCCTGCCATTCTGTCTGCCTGCGCTCGCTCTCTCTCCCTCTCTCTCTGACAAATAAAATCTTTAAAAAAAAATAAAAAAAATAAAACCTTTAAAAAAAAAAAAGAAAGAAACTCTATTGTTTGTGGGGCACCTGGGTGGCTCAGTTGGTTAAGCAGCTGCCTTTGGCTCAGGTCATGACCCCAGTGTCCTGGGATCGAGCCCCACATCGGGCTCCTTACTTGGTGGGGAGCCTGCTTCTCCCTTTCCCTCTGCCTGCTGCTCCCCCTGCTTGTGCTCTCCTTCTTTCTGTCAAATAAAATCTTTAAAAAAAAATTCTATTGTTTGTAAAAAACAATTAATGCGGCAGTAAAGCCTGAGATGTCAGTCCCAAGATGTACCTTCCAAATCCACCAGAGTTGGGTATTCTTTTTGATCATCAAAGGCTTGTCTCTGAGAGTGTCTTGGTCATAATGTGAAGCTGGAGAGGGCCACAGTTATATAAAAATGTGCATTCTGTGGAGGAGGGGTGACCAAAACTAAAACAATATTCCAATCTGCCACAAAAAGAGAATATGAATACATGGCCCAGGTTTAACATGCTTCCGCACATTCTGAGTATCAGGTTAACCAGTTCAAACCAATGTCAGTTTCTCCACTGTCAGCAATAATCTTTATTCTTCTTCTGAATATAAATTGATTTGACAGTCATCTCAAAATTTTCCCTACTGAATCCTACAGTAGTAAATGGATTAAACCCATTATTGTATTGATCTAAAATTCATTCGTGCAATCATTTACTTAGCAACTATGTACAAAGCACATCATCCAAGAAATACCTGAATGTTCCAAAGTTTCAGACCAATAGCTAAATTTACATCACTAATTTCCTTCTTACCAAAAACTTTGTCAAGTAAAATAACTGAGGAATAAGCATATTATAAATAAAGCTTAACCAAACACAATGTGGGGCAGATGAGTACTCAAGCCTATGATATGTAACCTGAGAATGTACAATTAATCCTATAACAACATGAGTGTATGCCAAAGGTACAAGGATATATCCTGTATATTTCAAGAGTAGGACAAGTTGAGATTGAAAAACTGTGATAAAAA